GTTTCTCCACCCAGGTTCTGTCTAGGTTCTCCAGCCAAGTTCTGGAGCCAGGTTCTGTCCAGGATCTTTTGCCATGTTCTGTCTCTAGGTTCGGTGTCTAGGTTCTTCAGCCAGGTTCTCTTGCTAGGTTCTGTGTCTAGGTTCTGTGTCTAGGTTCTGTGTCCTGTTACATCTGTATTTATACCAGTTGATTCCAATCCTATCAATCTCTATTCCAAAGGTTAGGGCGTTTCTTATCTCCATTCCAGGGAGTAAAGATTATGTAGCTTAAGCATGATTGTTCGTAGTTAGTGATTAATTACCCGCCTGGCACTTAGTGAAGGGATTTTATTCCCTCCCTAACTTCAGGGGAAAATCTCTACCTGGGGAAACAACCTTTCTCAGAGAGGTGACCTTGGTTAAAAAACATAGTGCCAAGAAGGTGACCAAACATATTAAGAACAGTATGCCATATATGCCAGGTCCCTTGAAACAGCAAGGATGGACCGGCTCCCGGCAGGTCTCTTTTAGAGTTCTATTCATTGTTTCTACTTGCCCTGAACTCTGGGGCCTATAAGCACAATGCAATTTCCAATCTTCCCCTATGACCTTGGCTATTGCCTGTGTTACCTTCGAAATAAAGGCTGGTCCATTGTCGGATCCTATCATAGCAGGAAAACCATACCTGGGTAAGATGTCTTCCAGCAGCTTCTTGGCCACCGTCTGAGCTGTTTCATGCTTGGCTGGGTATGCCTCTACCCAGCCAGAGAAGGTATCTATGAACACTAAAAGATATTTATACCCATACTTCCCTGGTTTAACTTCAGTGAAATAGACCTCCCATTGTGCTCCCGGTTTGGTTCCTCTGAGCCTGGTTCCTTCTCCACCTGACCCAGCTCTTGCGTTTGTGAGTTGGCAGGTCCTACAGGAGGCTACTTGCCGGGAGCCAGTCCATCCTTGCTGTTTCAAGGGACCTGGCATATATGGCATACTGTTCTTAATATGTTTGGTCACCTTCTTGGCACTATGTGTTTTAACCAAGGGCACCTCTCTGAGAAAGGTTGTTTCCCCAGGTAGGGATTTTCCCCTGAAGTTAGGGAGGGAATAAAACCTCTTAACCCCTTCCCCAGCAGAA